GTCTTGATGTGGGATCTGAGCCCTCGGCGGGAGCGCCGCAGCGCTTCCCAAGCGGCGCACTTATCCAGTGCGCCACCGGGCCGGCCCCATACTGCAATGATTTCTAATAATTTTTCTGTTTGATTGTCAAGTTACTTATTTCGTTGTTTTTTTTAAAATTTACTAAAACATCATCATCATCAACAACAGCCACCCTTCAGCCCCAAAACTAATAGTGATGAAAATAAATAGCAGTTCCCTGTTTTTACCTGCCTTGAAGTCATATATGGCTGTAGAAAAAAGAAAATCTAAATTTTCCATTTCACTGACACATATTCCAGGGCTCTTCGTACACTGGCTCTAACAACTGGAAATTCAGCAAATGCTGTGTAAGAGGTGGCTTATTCAGTGGAAAATCAGTTTGGAGAGAGCCCTGTCAAAGCCAAATCCTTGTCTACATAAAATATGGTGCCTCTGAGTTTAGGCTTTATTGGCTCAGTGCTGCATAAATGCAATAAAAGCTTATGATACTCTATTTTCCTTGCAATAAATATCCACTTTAGCAAATTAGAAGATAGAAGGAAGCTGGGTTCTGGAAAGCATGAATATCTATAACCCAGAACTCAGCATGGGTAGTAACTGTACAAACCCCACGCAGGCTTGGGGTCAGCAGCCCTGGAATGGCCCATTTGCAGCTGCCTTGGGAGATCCCAGACTCCTGGGAAGGTTCCTCACCAAATGAAGCTGGCTTGGCTGTCTGCAAAACTGGGAAGGTCAAAACCAATTCACTGCTGGAGGTCATAGTACCTGTCCTCTGTTCCCTTTGCATCTTTGTTTAAACGATCACCCAGAGATGTTGATGGGTTTGTAAAGGCCCACTGTGTAATCAGCTTCAAAATGCAATTAGCGGCCTTGGGAGGAAGTAAGCCCTGGGGATCCCATTCACAAGCTGGGCAGCCCTCCCCACCCATGGAAGGATGACCACTTGCAGGGATGTGAGAGGTGGCTGAGCAGGTGCCACTGGGGAAATTTAATGACTCCCAAGTGCACGTGCAGAAAACACACATCCTCTGTCACACACACACACACACACACACCTCTCTCTCCCACACATACAATAGCAACTGTCATCATCCACAATTATGGTGACAAAAAAAAAAACAACTTAGCCCATCTATAATTTGGGAGAAGTGATGATCGGTCACTGGGTAGAGGTGATTGTCTTATGTCTCTTCTCACTGGCAGAAGGACAGTGAGAAGTGGTCCCTCAGGCACAACTGGTCTTAGGGATGGGCCATGCTGAGAGCGTCCCTTACCTCCTCTCCCACCTCGATGTCTCGGACTGCACGCAATAAGAGGTGGGGCCCGTTGAACACGACTGAACAGTTGGGGTCGCAGCTGTGATTAAGCAAAGACATGCTGGAGGAAAGAAAAAAAGAGGGAGACATCATGGCTGAGCAGGTAAAGTCAAACAGCCGAACTCAAAGAACATGGTGGGCAAAAGACACTTTAGGTTGGGAGCGCAGAGGCGGGTAAGGTTGACGGGGCAGCAGGGATTGAGGACTCTGGGAGTAATCCAAGGAAATGTCACCAGCCCACTTCATACAAAATGAGATGCTTCCCAAGATGGAAGCTAATTAGGGGAGTTTATTAATAAAAACATTTTCGGGGTCCTTTTTGGAGGTGGGGGTGGGGAGGTAGTTGTCTCATTAGATACCAGCCAGTGAGGCAAACCAACATGCAGATGAGGAGAAAAACTGCCTTGCAAAGAAATAATCTCTGAGATAACGGGATGCAGCAGCCATCGGGGCAGCCAGGACACCCGTGACCTTGCCCACACAGGCTCTCATTGCTAAGCTCCTTCAGAGGAGCCGCCGCCTCTGCTAGAACATCCACAATGAAGAAAAATTAGAATTCTTCCTCTTAAATAGGAAGCTAAGGTTATCTTGCTAACGAGCTCGTGATGCATACTGAGCCATGGCCCCGTCATTTTATTACTCTTGGAGGTGAATTTTTCACCACGTGGGAAATGAAAGGGATTTAAGTTGCCACCGTAAATCAATATTAAGCAGAATGAGCACTTGCTATGCAGAAAGCACTTTCTTAGCACTTGAGCCTGGTCATCAAACTCAGTCATCACAGCAGTCTCATGCGGATCATTTCTAGATGAAGAGACTCATACACAGAAGTTAAATGACTTGCCTTAGTACACACAACTAATAAGTGGGGACTGAATTTGAACAGGCGGCCTGAACCCAGAGCCCATGCTCTGAACCATCCTGTGACTGCTTTTTGAGAACCACGACCTGACCTACAGCCAATGACTCTTGTGAGAAATAAGAAGCTGAATTCTCACATTCACAATGAATTATATGAGAGATTTCATTTGTATTTGGACCTAATGGCATAAAAAACAAAGTGAAACCAGGAGATAGCACTTGTGGAAGGACAGTCTAGTGGCTTAGTGACAAGGGTCACCTCAGTGATGGCTGGGGACAGCGCTTCAGAGGGCTAGTCTCTGAACATTTGCTCACCTCCCCAAGCGATGGGGCTCAGAGTATGCTAACTCAAAAGACCAAATGCCCACTGGTACAGTACAGAGAGGCTGGTGAAATGATCATGTGCCGCAGGCCGGGAGGCTGAAAACCAAGACCAGGCAGGGGAGGAAAAATAACCAAATCTCAGCCTGACGGCTAATTAGCACCTACAAACTCCAACTTCTCACCTCAAAGTCTCCCTGAGAATTTGGGTCTGAGGTCTGCCTCACTCTTCATACCACAGCATATCATGTGGGGTTATAAAACTGTTTTCTTTCAACTTAACATTTTCCACCTTCTTGTAATTTATCATTAAGTTTCAAGCTTGGCTCTTGAGCCAGCTGCTGCATTAGCATTTCTAACTACCTCCCAAGGACTGGGGAGTTGGGTGGGAATTAAACTGTGTCTTCCAGTAAATGAAATACCATCCACCATACCTAGGATATAGGCCAACACCAACTTCTTGCATCTCCGCATTACAGATGGTGAAAGAGTTGCAGATCACCTGTAAAAACAAGGGGAGATAATCAGTAGAGTCACTTAAGAAACTTTGTAGGCAAGAGACTCAAAACTGTCAACATAAAACGTAGGAGCCTTTTCAGGCCGGCCCGGTGGTGCACTGCTACAGTGTGCAGCTTGGGAGTGCGGCGGCGCTCCCGCCGAGGGTTCGGATCCCACATACAGACCGGCCGCTCACTGGCTGAGCGAGGTGCGGGCGCGACACCGAGGGTTGCGATCCCGTTGCCGGTCCTGGTCTGGTACGGGCGCGACACTGAGGGTTGCAATCCATTGCCGGTCACGAAAAAAGACAAAAAAGGAAAAACAAACAAACAAACAAAAAAAAAAATGTAGGAGCCTTTTAGTACTTGCTCTCGAAAGATCGAAGCCAAACATGGATGCTCTTTGGTTTGCAAAAAAACTTATCGGGGACACATTCCCCTTAAGAACATCAGGTGGTTAAGTGCAGAGATACTAACATCCTAGGGAACAACAACAACAAAAAACCAAAAACCAGGCTTAAACAAGCACAAGAACTATTAATTTCAGTCTAGTCACCCCTCCCCCCAGTCCCCAAAGTTACACAGTTACATGAAATGTTCAAAACTCAGAAAACAGGGAGCTGGTCATTAGCTCGGTTGTTATTAAGGTCAAGAGTTAGGATCCCTATACCGGCCAGCCACCAAAAAAAAAAAAAAAATCAGAAGACAAATAAACTATTTATTGAATATTAGACTCCTCCCAAGAGTGAAGTGCACTCTGAGTGAGTTTGTGATGAGAGGTGATGCCAGACAACAAGCACAGGAAGTCACCTGGTCAAACTGTGACATCTACTAGGCACCTGGAGCCCCTCACTGAGCATATGGCACATCCTATACCCTATGAGGGGATGGGGCAAAAATAATAAAAAATGCAATCGCTGTGCTCAAGGAACTTCAAAATCTCATTTGTGGAGTAAGTTTAATATACGAGAGGCCACACAGAGTCACGTAAGAAGCACGGGCTTGCAATCAGATAATTTCAGTCCTACCGCACATCACTGCCTCAGACAGGTGGTGGGGAGAGAGCAGAGAAGAAAAAATCAAAGTCCCTGCCTTCATAGGGCCTAAGCTCTAGTGGGAGAGAGAGGTTTTTTAAAAATCCAGTGACAGAAAAATGTCATATGTGGATAAATGCCAAGGATAGAAATAAGGTAAAGGCACAGAGGAAAAAGTAGTCAGAAAAGTTCTTTAGGGGACCAGCCCGGTGGCGCACTGGAGAGTGCGCCGCTTGGGAGTGCAGCGGCGCTCCCACCGAGGGTTCGGATCCCATGTGGAGACCGGTTCCCGCTCACTGGCTGAGCACGGTGCGTGCGCAACACCGAGGGTTGCGATCGCGTTGCCGGTCAGTAAAAAAAGACAAAAAGAAAAAAAAAAAAAGAAAAGTTCTTTAGGATAAGGAGACATTTAAGCAGTGAACTGAAGAGACTGCGGAAATGAACGTGTGCAGATATAGGGAATGAAGGTTCGTGTCAGGAGAAAGAGCATGTGCAAAGGCCCTGAGGTAGGGGTGTTCTTGGGCACAGAAAACAGCAAGAAGGCTGGTGCGGCCCCAGTAGAGCAGGTGAGAAGAGGGGTAAGATGTAAGGTCAGAGAGGTGGCCAGATCACACAGGGTCTTACAGCCATGTCTGGGTTTTATTCTCAATGAGGCAGAAAGCCATGTGATTGACTCTGAACCAAGGAGTGAATGGATCTGATGTCTGTTTTGGAGTTTTTGGCTGAAACAACGGGAAGATTATAGTTGCCATTTACAAAGATGTGGAAGAATGTAAAAGAAACACATTTGGTTGCAGGGGATTGGGAGGAAGTCCAGTGGCTCTGTCATAGTTGCATTAACTTTAAGACAGCTGATTAGACATCCAAGCCGAGACTGAGAATGAGCACTGGGAGTCCAGGGGAGCATACGGCTGGAGACGGAAATTTAGGATGAACCATAACGAAGCCCATGGAAGAGAGAGAAGAAGCCATACAGTCCTGAGAACCAGTGACTCTACAAATGGACGCTGACTTATAAAGTTTCTAGGAAGGAAAAGGCAGTGATAACGGAGTTCTCTAAATCAGGTTTATGTGAAAGAACACACAGTATGAAAAAGCGTTTCAGTGCTTTGAGACTCTGCCACTGCTCCAAACAGCTCTTATATGAAATCTAGGGCAACCCATCATGATTTGGCACTTTTCCCCTAGAAGTCTGATAAAACCGCAGTTTCAAATCAGGAAATAAATTGTTGTACATACACATATTTTAAACAAACACTAGTTAAATTGTTTTAAGGGCATCTGTTTTGCATTAAGCTGCAACAGGGTATATATTTATGTATAGAATGAATGGTAAAAATACAGGACAAAAGATCCTGTGTTTTCTTTTTGAAATTGTAAATATTTTTAAATGGCTATGAATTGTGGCGGCAATTAGAATTTTAATACATATTTTTAAGTAAAATCAGAACTTTAGCTGATGTAATTCACCACCACCAACAACAAAAAGATCAAACATCTAATTTGCCGACTTTTGAATCAAACCCAACATTAATTGTTTTCAGAATTATGAAGCAAATTAAACATTTTTCCAAAACAGGTATACTCTGGTAGAATTTTTTTTTTAAAAAACGAACAAGGAGAAAAGTCAACTTGATTGTTTCTTCCTCTGGGAAACTTTCCCTGATCCCTATAGAGATCTCTGAGTGAAGGGGTTTGGTGACCCAGCCTGGCATGTGAAGAGTTTGTGACCCAGTCTGTGAATGGGCTTGAGGGGTTTGGGAGCTCCAGACCCAGCCCTAGCTCAACCATCTGCCCAGTCGGTGCAGGGTTAACAGCAGGTAAAAGAGCCCGACAACTAGTGTGGTCGCCTAGCTTTACAATTGGCGTCACGAACAGGATTAAGAGCTAGACAACTGGCGCTGTGAGCAGGATTCACGACATCAGCCTTAGCCTTGCAGTAGCCTTTGTCGTAGCCAGACACTGTCTTACCCATCAGGAGAGCAAGAACTTGTTTGAGCCCCTGCTTAATACAGGGGCCTGCTCATTAGCACAAAGTAATACTGAATGAAAGAATGAATGAATGAATGAATGAATGAATGAGCAAATGATAGTCCCCCCATGTCTCTCTCCTCCCTCTTCGCTTCTCTTGAATCTTCTCCTTTTATGCTTTACTTCCCTCCCTTCTTCTCCTGTTTTCACTATTATCAATCTGGCACCCTCAACTCTCAATTCTGCTCCACTCCACAATGGGATGTTTCTAAATTTTATTTAACACATTCCAGACAAGTTCCTCATTTGTGTTATTCTGAGAGTTCTGTGCTAGTCTTCCTGAGCTAGTGAACAGAAAGTTGGGCTTTTTTTGTCTACTCTTACTTTCATTTAACAATGCTGGTTTCATTCAGCACTATCTCGACTTAAGAAGAACTTTACAGGGGCTGGCCTGGTGGCGCATTGGAGAGTGCGCCACTTGGGAGCGCGGCGGCGCTCCCGTCGAGGGTTCGGATCCCATGTGGAGACCGGTTCCCGCTCACTGGCTGAGCGCGGTGCGGGCGCAACACCGAGGGTTGTGATCCCGTTACCGGTCAGTAAAAAAAAAAAAAAAAAGACAAAAAAAAGGAAAAAAAAAAAAAAGAAGAAGAACTTTACAGGAAATATTTTTGACATATGCGACTGATGGCCATGGTGTATATGAGGCAGCTCTCCGTTTTTTTCTTTTTTAAATGAAAGAATAGGAAGATAATGTGTCCCTGTGTGCTCAAGCAATAACTTGAAAGAAATTGCTCTTTATATGAAAAAGTAAATGAATAAAAATAAAGACCAGAAACAAAGTTTAAACATTTTTCAAAGTATTATATTTGTATAAGCAGTTTTCTTAGAAAGTTGCACAGGTTAAACAATTAATGATTGAATACATCCCACAAAGACACATTTAGAAAAGCATATTAATGGGATTGTTTCAATAAAAATAAAAGCAATTAGGTTTAAAAAATTCTTTCTAAAAATTATCTTGATTGTTACTTTGAAAATATTTCCCACGACATGAAACTAAAACATATTTAAATTTTATTTTTTACTGAATGTAAATTTATGTTTATTCTTCATAATTTTCCTAATCTTTCATAATTACTGTAAGTAACTGAAAGCCTTTATAACATAACATTGTGGCCTCTCTAGATGACAAAAATCTAGTGAGCTGGTACAAGTCGTCATTGAACCTCTAGTATTTTGTAAAAAACAACCACACTGAAATTTAAAATAGACTGTGAACCAAATTCTTATATCATTTGGTTCAGGTTCTAGGTCCAGAATCTGACATTGGTTTTCTGAGGTTAAAAATTCCCCTGTAGAAGAGACACAAATATCAATTAAAAGCAAAAGACAAGGTGAATACCTCAGAGAAAATACATACTCATTTTATACACCACATGTTCATATTTCACCATTTTCCTCGAATTTTCAGAACTAGATGCTTTTTACGGTAGCAGCAGAAAAACTGAGATACTTGAGACACAAGAGAAAGTCACCCCTGTACGGTCACCTTGCCATGGCAAAGCTGTACAGCCACAAGAAAACTTACAACCCAGTCATAACTGAGTTAATTCTACCCCATAACAGAAGGACCCATCCACTTCCCAGCTCCTCCTAATGAATGACTTCTACACAGCCTACTTCGAAGAATGCTTTCAATTTCCAAAAAAATACACATGAACTTAAAAACACATTTATTTTTTATTTTATTTATTTATTTATTTATTTGTCTTTTCCATGACCGGTAAGGGGATCGCAACCCTTGGTGTGGTGTCGCCCACACCGCGCTCAGCCAGTGAGCGCACCGGCCATTCCTATACAGGATCTGAACCCACGGCGGGAGCAACGCTGCGCTCCCAGCCCCGCACTCTCCCGAGTGCACCACGGGGCCGGCCCTTAAAAACACATTTAAACAGAAGGAGAGTCCATTTCTGAACATGGATATGAAGTGGTTTCTCCAAAGA